CCCCGGAGGGCGAAGCCGTGCCGGGCTGAAATCCACTCGCTGTTCTGTTTTTGCTGTCTCTGCGTTATTTATTATCCGCGAGCTTTGTGGCTTTAATGGTCTGAATGGGCGTTGCTGTCTGTTATTCTTCAGCGGAGTTGTTGCACAACATTGGGGCTCTTCATGTGCCAAAGGCCGTGCCGCGAAATGTTTAGAAAAACGCTGGGTGGGTCTGGCACCTCCCGCTGTCCGCTGAAACGGTGGAGGCGGCTTCAGAACATCACAGGGCTTCAGTTCAGGCTGTTTTATACGATGCATGTCCTTAAGCATACCTAGCCATACTACCTATGCTAGTTTTTTAAAATATGGGTGATATGTAATAGTTGTTTTTCTTGAATACTAACAAATACCGAACCACCAGTAACCCCCTAGCTTCAACCTAGAAAGTAAAAACTATTCAAAATTTGGGTACTACCTTGTTTAGCATTTACACAGGCCTTTTTCTGGTTTCGCCGCTTCCAGAGCCATTTGTGAGTCCGAATTAGCTGAAGGGCCCTTCGTCAGAGCTTCCTGGCAGCAGTGTTATTTTGCCCCAAGGTGACGCAGCTTGAGCATGTGTCCCAAGTGTTGCTGTGACAGCGTCAGTGAGGGAAGAAGTCTCCATCTGAAGCCAGTTGCTGTTTTAGAGACCAAAAGTAATGCTTTAGGCGAGGGAAGCCAACAGTTAGTTAATGCCTACCATAGGGCATTGGTATCTCAAGTTCAGCCTCCTGACATGTTACCCCAAGCAACAAACTGCTCTTGATAACTCTCTTTGGTTTTGTTCTGAGTTATGTGAGGGACAACCAAAGTTAGTGACCTTAGCTTATTGTCCTATCTTTTTCTGTGATGTGCAGCTTTTCGAAGAAGTTCCGTCGTTCTTTTGGCGTTAAGGTAACAAAGATTGCGTCACTTCCATGTGTATCCTTGTCACACCCTTTTTCTGTCAGCAGATCATTCCAGCGTTAGTCTTGCCACTTTAGCGATCATATTTCTGATTTTGACAGAGCTTATGCAGTAGAGCAAGGAAGTGCAGTAGGAGTCACGTCTGAGCATTACTAGCTGTAGCTTGTCGCTGAATCTAACTGTTCCTCTGAGGCAAGCAATAGGAAAGTTGTCAGGGTAGACAGACGGCCATGCAAATTCTTATGTGTAGCAAACTGCCATCCTTAGCACTTGATCACTCATGCAGCTTCCAGGTATGAATCCCACCTGTGCAATTTGTATTTCTATTTGTGGGGGGAGTGTTGAGTTTTTCCAGAGTAACCTTCAGTGTTGACCTTGCATACAAAACCCACAATAGACAGAAGTTCTCTAGCATAAATTTGACAGCTGCTTTCATATAGGGTATCCCTTTTAGCATTAGTTTGAATTCAGTACCTTTTCTAGTGTAGACAAAACTTTCTGGTGGCAAAGCTATGTATGACTCTATCAAGGTGTTCCTCTGAGGCAAGCAATAGGAAAGTTGTCAGGGTAGACAGACGGCCATGCAAATTCTTATGTGTAGCAAACTGCCATCCTTAGCACTTGATCACTCATGCAGCTTCCAGGTATGAATCCCACCTGTGCAATTTGTATTTCTATTTGTGGGGGGAGTGTTGAGTTTTTCCAGAGTAACCTTCAGTGTTGACCTTGCATACAAAACCCACAATAGACAGAAGTTCTCTAGCATAAATTTGACAGCTGCTTTCATATAGGGTATCCCTTTTAGCATTAGTTTGAATTCAGTACCTTTTCTAGTGTAGACAAAACTTTCTGGTGGCAAAGCTATGTATGACTCTATCAAGGGTTAATTTTTTTCTCTCTTTTTTTTTTTTTTTTTTTTTTTTTTTTTTTTTTTTTTTTTTTATTACAAGCATCTGTCTTTTTTTCAACCTCATCTTGTCCTTTTCCAGGTAAAATAGGTATAAAACATTCTGAAGGATCAAGGTCTTTCTAGGTGTTTTTTGGTATTGTTTTGTTTTTCTGTGTAGGAGTGGTAGCAGTAACACAGAACTTAGCAAGATACCATTTTGCGATGTCTGTGGCTTGTGAGAACTTGAATAATGTATTGCCTACTGGAAAATGCAATCCTGAACTATTAATAAACTGACTCAACAGTGCAGTATTCAATTATGTCATAGCCTCCCCCTCTTCCATGCCTAGCAGTGGTCTTTCTGCATTTCTTCACCTTTCAACTTCATGGATGTTTTCAGTAACCTCTGGAAACACTTTTTTCACTGTGTTGATACCCATTATTGCCTGTCTCTTCATGCTTCGCGTAACTTTGTAACCATCTCTGCATAGCATTCTATTTTTAAGAGCACAGTTCTCTGTCACAACTTTTATTTTGAAGCGCCATGTTGACTTCCCAGCTATGTAACTTTCTGTAATGACCTTGTCTTCTAGAGTTTCCAGTATAATTCCTGCTCTGGTTTTGCACTATTATGATTAATTCAATTTTTTTAATGTTACAAAATGACTGGTCTGATAACGCCTTTTTTTTTCTTTCTTTCTACATTGTTACATAAGAATCTCAGGAACAAGCCTTTTCTTAGTCTTTAGGCTAATTTGTTTTCACACAGTATTGATTCAGGTCTTTTTAGAAATTTATCCAATTAAATATTTTTAACTTTTTTTCCCAAACAATTCAGAGATTTGTAACTACTGGAGGATGAAAGAGAGTAAAGCAACCTTTAAAAATTAAATTCAGACGTGTTTTTGCACAGTATTAAGGCAGTCTGAAAACAGCTGTAACAGTAATATTTGTGGACACTAAACTTAAAAAACCAAAGAAAGCACTTACAATGAAAAAGAATAAATTTGTGATGTGTTAGGAAGAAAAATAAACTTCACATAGCCTGCTGAGTTCTATCCTATTTGGAGTGTAATAACAATAAACATGAAGTGTCCATGACAGCATATCATTATAAGAAAGCAGATGTGAGTCTGGGAAATTATCAAAACACTCTGATAGATATTGCTTAATAGGTAGGTTGTTTTTAAAGTCTTGCTAAATCTGCGTGTAGGTAAACATTGGATAGATAGAATATTCACTAGTGGGCAAGAAAAGCAGGTTTGATGAGTGTGCGTCTAAGTGAAAGAAATACATGTTGCTATGTCTCTGAAAATAAATTTTAATTATGCTTAATTATTTTTAAATAATCAATTGTGCAGTACTTAGAAGTGGATACAGCAGCTCACTCATGCTCAGTGCTGTTAAAGCCTGGGATTTCTGGTATAGCTGTCAGTTCACCTGAGCACCGCTTGCCACAGGAACAAAACTTAAGGTAGCCAAGAATTCTTTTATCCCTGTAGTAATTGTATTATACTTGATGTGATATTGTTTTTATAGAGGGATTCTACATCTAAAGATGTGCTGCAGTCAGGCTGGTAGCTTTAGGAGACTTGAGCTGTAAAGATCTTACACCTCATGTTCTTTTTCTCTTTAGCAACTGCTTCAAACCATTGCAGGGCATGGATGGAGGTCACTTTCTAGTAAACCTGCTCAAAACTTACATATAGGCAAATCTGGAGCTGGCTTTAGCTTTGGTAAGTATTACAGGTTTTGAAAGTAATATAGCAATTAAGGGCAAATTGCAGAGTTAAAAAAAAATCCTGTATTGCAGTTCAACATGAATTTTAAATGAAGGTGTTTATTCTAAATAGATTTCTCTTCTTTTTTCAAAAAATGTTTGAAAACCAAAATTAGTTTCTTCCTCAGCTCAGGCAAGTCAGGTATGTGTGTAGTGTTTATAAGATTTTCTTCTTTTTTAACTCATGTCTGTCTTAAGATACTTTGGCAATAAAAAAAGCTTAGGTTTGAATAATTATCTCACACTGCCATTTACAATGTTAAAGTAACTCAATGTAGTCATAGTTGAAGTTGGTTTTAAGGAAACGTTATAAATAAATTCACCCTCATCTTGGCATATTACATACATAAAGCAAATTTATAGTGGCTCAGCAGCTAGATGTTTGAAACTGAACAAGCCAGGATCTTTGGAGGACATGTGCCTCCTTCTCTTCCTCCATTCAGTTAGCACAGCATTCTTCTTGTTTCTTTTTTGGTAATACAATGTATGTTATGCAGTCCTCTCTACATCATCTTCAATATTTTGTGGATAATTTAATCAGAAATAAGTAAGTGCATAGTAGTTGTTGATGAGAGAACAGTGGAGGTTTTCTCCCAGGAGGAAGAGGAAGCTGAGCATTTTGCTTCCTGGAGAGGCCCAGGAAGCGGTGGCTTGGGTTGTCCTGGAAGGACACTCTTGTTTTCTCTTTTCTCACAGTATGACAACTGGCAAAATTAAAGATGGTAGAGAATTTGTGACTTTTTTTTTTTTTTCCTTAATAGAACTTAGTGATGAACAGAAAGAGTTTCAAGCTACTGCTCGTAAATTTGCTGTGGAGGAAATTATTCCTGTTGCTGCACAATATGACAAAACTGGAGAGGTAAATCTACCACAGTGTAAGGAAAAAATTGACTTTTATCTTAACCTGCATAAAATGTAAAATGTTGATTGTGATGAATCAGAAGAGGTTTTTTTCCCCTGTTTATTTCAGTATCCTCTTCCACTTATAAAACGGGCTTGGGAACTTGGTCTTATGAATTCACACATACCAGAAAGCTGTGGTAAGTAAACATTCTTTTTAATCTGTAAAATGAAACAAAGAAAAGGCATTAGGTGAGATTTATATATGTAATTATGGATTCTGTATAAAATAAACAGTTGCATACTTGAATAATCTAAATTTAATCAGTAGGCAAGTTGACACATACAAGTGTTACTAGGTGTGGATGTAATCAGGAGACAAATTAGACAGATTATGATTTAGTAATTTATGACCAGATTTTCCTACCGTGATTACAACTGCCTAATGTTCCCCTGGTGCACTGTGTCAGCTGATTAGGCAGAGAAATTAGAAGGTCATATTTTGTTCTAGTCTCTGACACAGGCTAGAGCAATTTAAAGAGTTTATTCCAGAAGGACAGTTTTTCAGTTTAGATTAGGTGCAGTACAACATTGCTTTGGCAGTGTTTAGGTATATGAGTAACCATAGAAAAAATGTTAAATAATTTTCTTTTTTGCATTTATATTGGTTGAACAAGAAGTTAGGGGAGCGTCCATAGCAGACCCCTTTTTTTTGGAAGACTAATCAGAGGGTATATGTTGTATCAAAAGTTTAATAAACGAGGTTAAGGAACAACAAGACAAAAGGAGCAATTGTGAGGACCAGATTTATTCAGCCACAAATTCTAGAGAAACTAAAGGCTGAAATAGCTGGACTACTGCAGTGTATAATCACTTGGTTATTAAATGAAAAATTGCAAGTGGCAAATTGGACACCATTGCTTTAAAAGGTCTCCAAGGGAGATCTGGAAAAATACATACTAGTCAGCCTGATACACCATGTAAATTAAGAGCAAGTAAGATGAAGTACAGAAACAGTGGGAACAGATAAATACGATATGCTAGAGAAGGGCTTTTGTGAAGGGCAGTCAGGCCTCATAAAATCATTGGAGTTCTCTGAAGTAGCTAATAAGTGTGTAAACAAGAGATGCCCGGTTGATATAGAATGCTTGAACCTCCAAAATAAGTTTTTAAAAATCATCAGGTTTCATAGCGGAAAAATTAGCAGCACAGCCTTGCTGGGTCTTGTGCTATTTGGAATACCTATAAATAAACTGGAAAAGGGGGTCAATACTGAGGTGATAGAGTTTACTGATAATACTAGTTATTCAGTGTAGAAAAGATGAGGCTGGTGCAGAGAGCTGCAGGAGGTCATGAAACAGTGACTGTTAAAATGGCAAATGCAATTCAAAAGAGGGAAAGGGATGCACATGTAAAGGGAAAGAAGCAATACGAACTTCACAGAGAAATGGTATCTTCTGAACTAGTTACTGCCTCTCAAAAAAGAGATTTTTGGGGTTTATAATATAGTCCTGTGAGCGTCAGCGTAATGCTCAAAAGTGGTCAAAACCATGAAATTTAAGGTCAGAAGGGAACTTTAAGAGAATGAAGAAAAAAGCAGAAAGCATAATTATGCTGCTGCCTGAATCCACATTGCACTTGCCTCTTTAATTCGTTGTGTAGTCCAATTCTTCCACCTCAAAAGAGTATTGTGGAAATGTAGAGTGTTCCGAAAAGGATGACAAAGATTATAAAAGATGGATCTTCTGTGTGTGATGTAGCTTCTGTGTGAGAAATGACTAAAATGTCAGTGTCATGGAGAGTGTGAAAAGGGATTGATAGTTCACTGTCCCTTTCAATAGAACTAGAAGGCATCAAATTAAGTCAGTAGATGGCAGGATGAAAGGAGATGGTTCCACATGCAGTGTGTAGTTAATTTGTGAAACTCGTTGCTCTCAGACTGATGCTCAAATTTTACATAGATTAAAAAAGAGGCTGGGCAAATTCAATTAAGAAATGTCTGTCAAGGGTTACCATAACAAAGACGCCATAGAGAGGTATCTCTTTGGCTGAGGAAGTAACCTGAAAGCTTGGGAAAATATTTTTGAGGAAGTATAGTCATATTGTTATTGTATTTGTATGTACTTCCCAAAGTGTTGGCTGCTGTCAGAAACAGGTTACTGAGTTGGTTGTCTGACTAATATGGAAACTTTTTTTTTTTTTTTCCCTCCTAAGTGTTGCGGTAGCTGAGGAGCCGTTTCTCTGCTTCCTAAGAACTCTTAATTCTCAAGTGTAAAGTAGTAAAAAAATTCAAGTGGTACATTCTTGCCACCTTGTGCAACTTGTCCCACATTAATCCCACAATAGACCTGGAACTGTGACACGTAATTTTCAAATCACCTGTTACTCTTCTGACAAAACTTTATTTAAAAAGCTTGCATGAGAGTGTCTAATCAAACACGGTACATAAACGTAGGTGGGGGAATATATTTTTTCTTAATTAATTTGTGTAAATCACTAATATGTTGCAATTTAAACCCATTTTAGTTAATTAAATATTTCAACTGTAGGTGGTCTTGGTCTTGGCACTTTTGAAGCATGCCTTATTACGGAAGAGTTAGCTTATGGATGTACAGGAGTTCAAACTGCCATTGAAGCAAATTCCCTAGGGGTAAGTTCTGTCTTTTCTTATGTCTCTTAAACTAGAATCTGTGCACTTTAAAAAAATGGATCAATGGTCTAAATATTTTCTTTCAGCAAATGCCAGTAATCATTGGAGGAAATGAGCATCAGCAGAAAAAATACTTGGGAAGAATGACAGAGGAACCACTGATGTGTGTAAGTAAAACTGCTACACTGTGGAATGTTCCTAAACCATGTTAATCAGTATTAACTCCTTTTTGTTTTTTTCTCAAAGTTTTATTCCTCAAGATTTTGCATTTTATTTTCTTTTAGGCTTACTGTGTAACAGAGCCCGGAGCAGGTTCTGATGTGGCTGGTATAAAAACAAAGGCTGAGAAGAAAGGAGATGAGTATGTTATTAATGGTCAGAAGATGTGGATCACAAACGGTGGGAAAGCAAACTGGTGTGTTAACTGTTAACTCGTATTTTCTGTTGTTATGTTATAAAGTGGCTTCCCCCTTCACCCCCAAAGTTAAATTCTTTAAAGATCTGTTATAAATCTGAATGTTCATTGTGTTTCAACACACTACATTTCAATCTCTGACCAGTTTATCGGGTGAGGATATAAGAATGCAGCCTCAGTGCTGTGCAAAGACTAAAAAGGAAAATGAACAATGTCATGACAACTCCCTCAAGAAGACCTCTTGAATCTTGCTGCTATCAAACAAAATTAACTCTGCTTTTTCTTCAGGGCAGGACAGCAACAGCATGATTTAACTTGCAAAGTACTCAAGAGGCTTATACTACTAGCGGCCTTGCTTTGTAGTTTGAGATCCTGATTTTGCTAGAAACATCTCTCGCTTCCAGTGAAGCTAGAAACACTGCTGGATTGCGATGTTATATTTTATTTTCTGAAGGAAGGGTATTTTCCAGCTGTCAAAGAATCCAGATATTGCTGTGGTGTCTATGGAGTGTGCTTTACAATATAAACCTGAATTTTATAGTTATTTATTCCCTTGTTCAAGGCAGATCCATCAAAGACAATCTGCCAGATATCTTTTGACATTAGTGAACACCATGAAAGTGTTTACAACTGTTTAATTTCCAAGAGAAATACTTACTCACAACTTACACTTCAAAGAATAAAACCAAATCTTTGAAATCAGATGACAACATAACATTTTGCATGCAAGAATGTATTTCCTAAGCATGAATTTTCATGTACGTGGTTTGAATAGATTTCTTTTGTACTGTTCATGAAGCTGATAATATCATAAAGGCTTACAATACATGGAAAAGGTGGAGAATCTTCGCATGTTGATCTGAACTAATTTTATTTATTTTTATGAAATCTTGAGTCTTTGAAACTTCCTCTCTCTCCCTTCCTCTCAGTTTATTTTTGGGAGGGGCAAGAAAAAAGGTTTGTTAACTTACAGATAGAATTTTTTATATGGTAGAAGTGCACATACAACATTTAAAATGTTAGCTAAAAAAATATCTGGTTGCTAACCATGAGGATAAACTGCATCCCTCTTATTTGTTTTACACTAGGTATTTTTTGCTAGCTCGTACTGATCCAGATCCAAAAGCTCCTGCAAGCAAAGCCTTTACTGGATTCATTGTGGAAGCAGATAGCCCTGGAATCCAGATTGGAAGAAAGGTGAAGACTGTATTTCTTATCTGACAAACCAGAAAATACTGTTCAATTCTAAACCAATAATGCAACAAATTACCATTAAAGGAAAAAGATTGTTGTGCAACTGAACGTTTTCATACACTTATGTACAGTCATCTTTTCATTTTCACAACATACAGAAACTATTCATAAGACTTACCTATAATTATAATGTTATTAATTCAGATACGGAATTACTCGGAATGGTCTAAAGTAAGATGACTTTGAACAGCTGCAAAAGAAACTTTGAGAACTATCTTATTGACAAGTGCCAATAAAGGAGAAGCCTTGAAAGGATAAGAAGCAAATTGGACAATTTTAACCATAAATACACACAGAGTGAGCTTTCATTTTAGCTACTGCTGGTCAAGGAAGGAGCCTTGGAGACACTGGTGCTAGTTCTCACTTTAAAGAAAAAAAAAGGTATTATTTTTAGTAGTAGGCATACTGGATGTTGAACATTAGGAAAGGAATCCAAAAACTTGAAAAGCTCATTTATTTATTTATTTGTAGCACACCTCTACTGCCTGCATATTAGATTCTTTACTTTTACCACTTCTACCTCAAGGGATATAGGTGAACTAGAGAAAGACAACAAGGCTGATTACAGCTACAGAACTGATTGCATATATGGAGAAAGTAAACTGCCCAACTTAGACAAATTAAGGGCATGCTGGTCTGCAAGTGCAAAACTAGTGTTTATCGTGTACATGGTAATTTTTAGATGAAGTATTTTGGGGAAAAAACCCATACTTTATGCTTTGAGTAAACTAAAGAATGAAAACGTATTGTAGCTTTGAATAATCCAATTTAGTTGCACCTCTGTGATTTTCCCTTTTCAGGAAATGAATATGGGTCAACGCTGCTCAGATACCAGAGGTATTGTCTTTGAAGATGTGAGAGTCCCAAAAGAAAATGTGTTAATAGCTGAGGGAGCTGGCTTTAAAATTGCAATGGGAGCTTTTGATAAGACCAGACCACCTGTAAGTATCCGAAATAACTTACTTATAAAATATAGTAGGAATTTCTGATTTTCTATTCTATGCTGTATTCAATTCAGGTAGCAGCTGGTGCTGTTGGATTAGCAAAAAGAGCACTTGATGAAGCTACTAGATATGCTTTGGAGAGAAAAACCTTTGGGAAAGCAATTGTTGAAGTAAGTGGAGGTGGGGGGTAGTGGGGAGGCGGGGAGAGAGAGAATATAAATAAAAGCTATGTTTTCACACCAGATGTACTACTACTGATTTTTCTAGGTTATTTCTTGATTTTTTTTTTTTAATTTTTTTTTTTAGTTCCTTAATTTTTATATCTCTGCCATTCCAAGTATATAGGTCAGCACCATTTAAGTAAACTTAGCTATGTGTAGCTTCAGGAATTTTTCTATAATTTATCAATGGTAAAAGCAGAAAGAAAACTCTGCTTAAAAACCTGAAACTCATGTACTATCAGGATATACTTCAGTTCTTCAGTGCTAATAAACAGATTTTCAGGAAAGGAAAAAACCTCTGAGCTACGTGAAACAAGACGCACAGTATTAATACTAATAGAATACATCGCCTATCACACTGCTTACTGGTTTTCAAGAAATATTAATAAATAGCAAGGTAACCCCAATCTCATGAATAGTGAAGAACTTCATAATTCAGTATTTAATCCCTACGACTGAATGGATTTGAGAATAAAAAACTTAAAAGTCTAATTCAGCATACAATTATGAGAGCCTGATGCATATTCTCTAGAACTCCCCTAGTACAATTTAGTGAGTTTGTTGAAGAGATCGCTGTATTGATTATATTTTTCTTGGATGCCATAGAACTTTAAGTGAGTGATGTTAACCTAGTTTATTTCATCATTCACAGCACCAAGCAGTGTCTTTCTTGCTTGCTGAAATGGCAATGAAAGTGGAACTTGCTAGGATGGCTTACCAGAGAGCTGCATGGGAAGTTGATGCTGGTCGCAGGAATACCTACTATGCTTCCATTGCAAAGGCATTTGCTGGTGACATTGCAAACCAAGTAGCTACAGATGCAGTACAGATTTTTGGAGGAAATGGATTTAATACTGAATATCCTGTAGAAAAACTAATGAGAGATGCTAAAATCTACCAGGTAAGTAAAAGAGAGTATGTGATCTTTATAGTAATGCATAAATTTTATATAAAATAAACTAATGCCTACTTATTTCAAATCATGATGTACACATATAAAAAAAGGTTTTAGAATGAAAGCAATAATCCTTCAATTTAAAGGAAGAGTCATTCAAATCTGGCAAATTCTTGCATACAAAAGTCATTGCACTGGACCAACAACTGAGCCTGCACAAGAGAAATAAATTATGTTTTTTCTTCCTCCCCCTCCCCAGTGTGGTAACTGAAATTCTTGGACTCTTAATTTTGAAGTTTATGAACTCTTAGAAGAAAACACCATAGAAAAAACTGATCAAAATATCAGGGATTGCTTTGGTATTCTATAAGTAGAAATGGTTTTTGTGTAATGCTGTTCTTGAAAACCTTCAGCGATGGAAATCCTCTGACCTTCCATATGTGTCCTGGACTGGTGCCTGCCTTTAGATTAGCTTTCCTCTCAGCCTGAACACTAAAGCAGTTTCTTCACCTTTTTCCTCATAAGTTTTGGGGGTTGGTTTGTTTGTTTGTTTCCCCACACACACACCCTTTTCTGTTTCTAGCCTCTTCATCATTTGTTGCTGTGCTCTAAACGTTGTGCTTGAAACTTTGGCATCAAAAGCTGGGTAGAAAACTTTGGTTGAGATATTACCAGTATTGAGTATCATGGAATGATTATCTTGCATGTGTTGTATTAACAGAAGTGTGACACAACCTGGAGTGGTTTTTTTGGTTTTGTTTTTTTTTTAACAAGACCTGCTCATATTTACTCATATTTAGCCCACAGTCACCCATAATCCCATTTTTTTTCTGCAGTGTTACTGCCAAGAAATTATTCCATGTGATGTCATAATTCTATTAGCATATACTATGCTACAGTTCTTTATTCAGTGAGAATATTTTGTGTTCAGCAAAATCTTTTCACCTCTTTATGCCATTAATAGTGACTAGGTAAAACGTATCAGAACAGATAATAAGAAATGCATGTGGACCATGACCTGTAATGTTAGTTAGCTGTAACAGCTGTCATTCTTAAGATTCCAGGTAGTTAATATTTCTCTTACAGCTGACTTAAAAATGAAAACTATTATTCTCACTAACCAAGAATTTATTTTCCTCTATTTAAGGAACGACAGCCACTATTTTTGAACCTAAAGATTCTTAGAACTAATTGCACTCCTGTGAGTGAGGAAATGAATGATTAACTGAACTTTATTATGATTGGGCTTTTTTCCTGTTAGGATGCATGCTTTTCTAGAGAAAGATGGTGTGAGGGTTAGAACTTTATTTGAAAGCTGAGATTGATTTTTGCAGGATCACAACTATTTAGGTTTTCCATTACACTGGTCCATTGCAAATGCATCGCTAGACTTCTTTTTTTAATTGTTCAGATTAATCAGATTTAGTATTACATTTTTGGTGGTTTTCTGTTCCTGAAAAGAACTCAGGAAAGGCTTTTGTCTCTACCATTATTTTTTCCATGTCTCTTGATTATACCATGCACTTCACTGTGCCTTACTGCATTGCTGCCCCATTCCAGATGGTATATGCTTTTGGCCATATGTTTTATGTACAGAAACTTAGTTTTCCAACTTTTTCTTCCTCCATATATTTGATCTTTTTCAGTATTATACAGTTCTAATGCTGTGTTTACCGGTAACATTTTTACATGTCCTTACTCTGCTCTAGGTTTATCTGGCTACAAATCTAGGCTACTCTGGTAGAATCTCTAACTTAGTTTCATTTCTCAAATTTGGAAAACTTCCCTTCTTTAACTGTCAATAATTCTTGAAACTATTTCCATTGACTTAAAACCCAAAGCCTTTCTTTCTTGTAATTACTTAAGAAGATTGTGAGTTTCACTGTCTTTTCACTTGAGTTCCATGGCTGTCTTCATCAAGAGGTGCAATTTAGTGCAATAGGAGCAGATTAGTAGATTGCAGGAATAGCTGCTGAGCCCCCTGCAACTACACTATAAGCAGTTTGGGCAGGCTGAGTTGACAGCAAGCCTGTTTGGTCCCCTGGACTATATGTCCCCAATATCCATGTAATTTTAAGGGTCCAGTTGTAGGCTGGAACCATTATGTCTTCATTAGGGATTGGTGGGTGTTTGGTATACAGAGAAAGCAGAGTTTCCCTTTCAGTTTGCTCCAAAGCGCAATCTGCTCTATGAACTGGATCAATGTGGGGTATGCAGCAGCAGTCAGAGAATTCACTTTGGGAATGAACAATTTCTTCTGAGCCAAAAACCAAAGGTGAACACAGGTTCTAGCATCTTTATTTTCACAAAGCTTTGTAAGGTTCTTGGGAAGATTATTCCTACAAGTGAATGAGAAAGTGAATTTGTATTAATCTGAGCAATTTGCCAAACCAAGTTCTGGCAGAATTGGGAGCTGAAACACTTAAACCCCTAAACTATATCACCTCAGCCCTCGCATTACATTGCAGTGTACTTGCGGAGCGTATGGCCTCCAACATTAGAACTTCATATATGCTTTGTTGTCTATCTTTCACTTTGCTGCCAGCAAACAAATAGAACAGAGGGATGATGCAGACTGTTTCTAGAAGAAAATGCAAGAATACATGATTAAAAAACCCAAACAAAACTGTGTAGGAGAGAGTACTAGTTAACAAGAAGCAATGGAACTAAATGGATCAAAGAGAGCATTTGATATGGCCTTGAAAGGCTAGTCAAAGAAAATTGACCACTTTCAGCACAAGTCACCTCCCCCCCTCCACCTATTGTTTTAAATCCTACTTTGTAAGATATAAATTATGTATTTTCTTCCTCAGATAAGAAATTTTCCTCATCCTTCTTCACCCACTGTGTTCATTTTCATGAGAATCTTAGTGAGTGTATATAAGAGCACCTGAGAGGACAAGACTGTCTCTCAATGTCTTGTATGTGATTTATTCCATTTAGCCCACTGTAGTTACTCTGCCACGCTGGAATTTTCTGTTTTCTCTGTCTTTCTGCACACCCTAATCCACACTGGATTAGTCCTGTGAAGGTTTAAAAGTGTAGATCTGTTTAATACCTTTTAAAAATCATCAGCTAACATTACTGCAATTCTTCTTTTCAGATTTATGAGGGAACTGCTCAGATTCAAAGGATGATCATAGCTCGAGAACACATTGGCAAATTTAAGGCTTAAAGAAATGTATAAAGCGTGTCTGGCGTTGCAGTACTGTTCTCTGTTCCCAGGGAAGAGGACTTTAGTGCATTTCTCAATAGAACTAAAAAGGCATGGATAAAAAAACTTTCCTTCAAAATCTTTTTATTCTATACATTATTAAGGACTACTTCTGTTCTCCCTGTCCAGTCCATCTCTTCATTACTGACTAGCAAAGCTGGTATTTTCTAAATGTTCTGAATTCCAAAGTAATTGGTTGTTCAAATACAAAATGGGCAAGAAATGAGAACCTCACAATGCAATGTTTTCTTATTATAAAATCAGACGGCTCAGAATGTTGTTTCTGACAGTCATTGCTGCACTCTAATAAATTTTTTTTAAGAGAAGTGGGGTTGGTCTTTATTCATTTTGCTTGTCACATCACAATTATATTCTGGGTAAGTTGTCCACTGTCTGGAATATGTGAATAGCTGTCCTTCAGTTCCTACTATGCTACTGCCCACAGCAGCTGACTAGCCTTTCCAGTTCAGTAGTATGAAGGACTGCATTGCTGTTGTCTGCATGCGTGTCTGTTCTGAGGATTTAGATACTATCTGTTGTAGTTTAACCCTGGCTGGCAACTAAGCACCACACAGCCACTTGCTCACTCCCCCGCAGTGGGGTGGGGGAGAGAATTGGAACACTAAAAGTGAGAAAACTCATGCATTGAGAAAAAGACAGTTTAATAGGTAAAGCAAAAGGTGTGCATGCAGGCAAAGCAAAACAAGGAATTCGTTCACTGCTTCCCATGGGCAGGCAGGTGTGCAGCCATCTCCAGGAAAGAGGGCTCCATCATGTGTAACGGTTACTAGGGAAGACAAAATGCCATCGCTCCAAACATATCCCCCTTCCTCCTTCTTCCCCCAGCTTTATATGCTGAGCATGGCGTCACAGGCTGTGGGATATGCCTTTGGTCAGTTGGGGTCAGCTGTCCTGGCTGTGCCCCCTCCCAACTTCTTGTGCCCCCCCAGCTTGCTTGCTGGTGGGGTGGGGTGAGGAGCAGAAAAGGCCTTGGCTCTGTGTAAGCACTGCTCAGCAGTAACCAAAACATCCCTGTGTTACCAATGCTGTTTTCAGCACGAATCCAAAACAGAGCTCCATGATGGCTACTATGAAGAAAATTAACACTATCCCAGCCCAAACCAGCACACTATCCAAAGGTAACAATATCCGCTTGAGAGAATGTGGCCTTTTGCACTGTTACACTCACTTAAGCAAGTAAATGTTCAATCAGGATGATTCTCTTCAAATGGAAGTGAGTAGCTTTTCCTTAGGAATGACTTACAGGATTGTATTTATTCCAAATCCAGTATACTTAAACCTATTATTCCTTTCTATCAGTGCATACACTTAACTATGTTTGCAGCAAGAACAGCTGAGAAGAAGGAACTGTTGTGAGATTTATTTTTTTTAAACTTGGACAGACCCTTCTTGCAGTGCTGGCAGAATGGACATTCCCTGGACTTCTTGAACAAATTACTCCGCACTGGTGAGGCCGTACTTGCAGTACTGCATCCAGTTCTAGTCTCTCCAGTACAGGAAAGATATGGACTTAACTCAAGGGAGGCCAGTGCAGGGCCACAAAGACGATTAAGGGACTGGAGCATCTTCTGTGAGGAGAAGCTGAGACTCTTCAGTCTGGACAAGAGAAGGCTCAGGGGTAATCTTATGTATGTGCACAAATACCCGACGGGACGCAGTGAAGAGGAGGGAGCCAGCCTCCCCTCAGCAGTGCCCACTGGCAGGACAAGAGGCAACAGGCACAAATTAAAACACATGAAATTCCACTGGAACACAAGAAAACACTTTTTATTGTGAGGGATGTTGCACACTGGCAGAGGTTGTGGAGTCTCCATCTGTGGAGATACTCAAAACTCAACTGGACAAGGTCCTGTGCAACCTGCTCTAGCTGACCCTGCTTGGGCAGGTGGTTTGCACTCGATGATCTCCTAAGGTACCTTCAAACCTCAACAATTCTGTGAATTCATTTGCAATTTCTCACCAAAATGTCCTTGGCCTTGCTGTGGTCTTTTTCATCCATCATTTGAATTTAGTGTCGGACAGTACAATTACTGTCATCAGGTATCAGTTTCCTAATGCTTATTTCTCAGGTAGGCCACCTGGGAAATTAGTTAAAAGTGTTTAGTCACTAGAAATCACCAGCTTATTTACCTGCAGAAGACTGATAATGCAACATCCTTGGTAAGTATTTGACATACATAAAAAAGACCTTATTTTTGACTGTTCTATGCAAGCCAGCATTATACCTAAAATTTCTTGTATAGAATCAAAATGGTGTTCCTGCCTGGTATGGTTCTGTGGGGGACGTGTGCCAGCATTGAGTGTTGGTGATCAATAGCATAATCATCCTAGACCATTTTAATTAGGAGGCAAAGCGGGTTTTTTTGAACAAAAGGACAGTCATCCTTACCTGCTCTGGGGCTAAATTCTCGGGTTTGCTTTTCCATAGGACTGAGGTAACAGAAGGAAACTGAAGCTATTTCTAAATGCTGTCCTGTTTGCCGTGATACAAGAAAGTGCATACGTCCAACTTACTCCCTCACCTGTTTTCAGATAACCTTCAGCTGTGGCAAGCCTCCCTGTACACCCAAGGCTGGGGGGCCCCTCCCGCGGGCCCGCTGC